ATAGATAGATAGATAGATAGATAGATCATAGATAGATAGATAGATAGATAGATAGATAGATAGATAGATAGATAGATAGACAGACAAACAGACAGACAGATATGTATGGTGCATACATATCTAGATGTACACATTGTAAACAGTGGGGCAAGTTGGTCCCTCTTCAAAATTTGTATCCCCTTAGAAAATAAAATACACCGGCATAAACATGAGTGCAAAAACTCTTTTTAAAAAATAAAATAAAAATAAAAGTAGAAAGCCATTTCTAAATGAAGCCCATAATGACACCCCCCCCCCGCCAGCCCTTTCCCTGCAGAGAAAGAAAAGGAAGGGGTCGGCATTGGCTGGTCAGGACATGGTGTCCCCTCCTAAAGGCAGAAGTCTCCAAACTTGGCAACTTCAAGACTTGTGGACTCCAACTCCAGGAGAATTCAGGAAGTTGGAAGTCCACAAGTCTTAAAAGTTGCCAAGTTTGGAGACCTCTGCCTTAAGGGATGCTGCAGCTGATGTTCTCCAGAACGTTCTTGAGCCCTGGGACAAGACTTCCTGCTCGTGGGTTTCCGAGCCTTCAGGAGCCCCACAATTTTTCTCCACCATGCCACCTTTGGGTCCCATCCAGGTGAGGGGAGCAGGAGGTCCCAATCCAACTGGCTCCCTCTTTAAATGGATGGGGAAGAGGGGCTTGGATGGGAAAAGAGCACGTTTCCACCACCCCTAACTCTCTCAGCCTTCTTGGGGGACACTGGGGGCTTAAGGACATGGGGAGGGGCAGGAGAAGGACTGACCACACGGGCTTGCCTTTTGGGAAACCTTTCAGGACCCTCCATGGCAAGGCTCCCCCCGTATGTTCCTGCCCTCGTGAACCTTCTTGAGAGCACCTCCAGGGCAGGGGTCTCCAACCTTGGCCACTTTAAGCCTGGAGGACCTCAACTCCCAGAATTCCCCAGCCAGCTTGGTCTCCAACCTTGGCCACTTTAAGCCTGGAGGACTTCAACTCCCAGAATTCCCCAGCGAGGGTTGGAGACCAAGCTGGCTGGGAAATTCTGGGAGTTGAAGTCCTCCAGGCTTAACCTGGCCAAGGTTGGAGACCCCCGTTCTAGGGCTCCAAATCTCCCTGCTTGGCCATCCAGGACTTCCTCCAAAGGACAGGGAGTGTCAAATGGGTGGGCCAACTAAAAAGGCCCCCCCGTTCCCCCCATTTCAACCTCCTGCAGGCAACCACGGTCGAACACACCCACCTTACAACGAGCAAAAGGAGAAGACTGCCTCTTCCTAACTGTGAGTCGCAGCGTTGCACCTGGAGATGCCGGTGGCAGGGGAGGGGTGTCTCCAGCCCCCCCCCAGCCCCCCTCCCCACCCCCCTTGCCCCCCCTCCCATCTGCAGCCCAAGGAATGTTACGTATCACATTCAGTTTCACAGATTGTACATTTATTGAAAGACGAACTACTCTCTGGTCAAAGGACAGCGGTCGGCTCTTCTTTTTACATCTCCTGAACCCGAGAGTTTCTCTTTCGGGATTTCTTTTTTTTTTAAATTATTATTATTATTATTATTATTATTGTTTTTCCTCCATCACCCAAACTAATCCCTGCTACCCTTTCCACATCCGAACTAGGTTGAAGGTTTTTTTCCCTCTTTTTTTTTTTCAATAAAAAAAATGGTTACTATGACAAAGAACACATTTCACATTAAGATATTCACGCACCCACAGTGCACAAGCTTGCAGATCTAATGATTTTAAAAAAAAATGAAAATGATATTTTATTATTATTATTTTTTTACAAAAGGGCTGTCTTTTTTCCACTTCTCTATCCCTTTTTCCACATTCTCATTTGCAGAAGAATAATTTCTTTCAAAGCTAAATTACAGTTTTTAGGCACAAGAGCCCTTGGAGAAATTTGTGAATGCTGGGTTTTACATTTATTGGTCTCTCACAATGACCCAGGAGTAGTCCTTGTGCTCAAACAGCTCTACTCTGGCAAGTAACAATCAGAGTGCTGAAATCTTTATTCAGACCACTTTAACATTCTGACAAGAAGCAGCCTTCAAATCCCAATTATAGTGTGTTTTTGGAGCCACTGGCCATTTCCTAAGGGCGTTCTAGATCAGTAGATGCAATCTAGAATGCCCACTCCTTTTGCAAACCCCTTTTGGGCCAGATTTTTGCATTAGAAAAGGGAATTGCGTTTCCTTACAGATATATAAATATGGCGCCAGGGCCTGGCTGCAAGTCCCCTTTTGGCTGACCTACAGCTGATGAAAGAGTCTTGGAGGGGGAGGCCAAAACACGGGAGCCAAAAGGAACCACATCCTCCACCACACTAGGGACCAGAGACTTCAACCTAAGCCAGCTGCTTCTTTCCCCAAGGGCTCCAATGGCCAAACCTGCCGTGCCAAAGACTGAGTTTGATGCACTAATGGCCGCCTAAGGAAGACCTCAGCTCTAACTCCGTGGATTTGGGGAAGTCATCCCTTGCTCTCTGGAAAGGTCTTTCTGAACTGAATGGGAATCGAGGGGCTGCCAAGCCGGGCCTTTGAATCTCTTGCTGAATGGCTTCTCACTCCTCGCTCCCCACCCCTGGCCAGGAAACAGGATGGACGCCCATCGGATCGGCTACCAGAGCTCAGGTGCCCTTGGGGGCTGGAGCTTGGGGCGGGGCGGGGGGGCTGTGTCCAGCCCAAGACTGCGCCCTCGGTCTATACATTCTTTTAAGACAGATTTACAGTTCTTACATCCCAGCCTTAGGCATTTTTATATACATACATTTGGACTGCACTCCAAGAAACCTCCAGGGGATGCTGTTTTCCAGGGCCATAAAAGTAGTACCCTCAAGGTCCAACTTGGCCAACAGCATTCATGACATTTGCATTTACATTACGGTTATTCTTCTTCCGAAACCAGGCCACGATTAACTGGCTCCTGAAATTCAACACAATATATAATTCACTCAAATATATTAAGCTAGGAAGGAACCGTTGTTGTTTTTTTTTTCAACAGCAGGAGGGGCCACGCCCTGCGGCCCCCAACCTGGATGGGAATGACCTACCAACGTTCCCAATCTCCCTACTTTTCAAGGGAGAGCGGTTGGAGGCGGGGGGTGTCCCAGGGACGTCCCCACAGCTCCTCTGGAGGCAACCCATCCCAGATGCTCTCTTGACGGTTACAGGAATAATGGTGGTGAGCAAAAGGTATTGAGAAGGAAGGAACCACCTGGGCATCCCCAGTTGACCTTCATGGATTCTAGGTGGGGCAGGTTAAGCACCACTTGGGGATATTCTCCCTCCAACTCAAGCACTTTGTAAAAATCTTCTTTTGGGGGGTGGGGGGGCTACATTCCTGCTTTCCCAAACTCTACTTCCTAAAACGGGGTGCTTAAGAGTTTCCTGCGTGTTTCTCAAGGAACTAGCTTGGACCAAGACACCAGCTGGCCCTTCATTAGCCCATCTCTATCCAAAGAAGGATCAAGGAAAAGGGAGGGTTACTTGATTTTCTTACTTTAGTAAGAATTAAAAATAATAAAAATAATAATAATTAAAAGAAAGGTAAAAAGGGAAAACATCTACTGTAAACATCCATATTTTAAAATGTTTCCCTCTGCAAAGCAAGCATGCTGGCCCACCTATTATCTATATAGCCTGCATTTTAGTTTCTCTGTCAATCTCTCTCTCTTTCTCTTTCTCTCTCTCTCTCTCTCGCTCTCTTTCTCTCTCTAAAAAGGCAGCTATTTTACATAGACTTTTAAACACAACAGTTTTTTTTTTAAAAAAAAAAAACATTTCGTTGACTGTAAACACTGGAAGAAAAAAAATGTTGGCAAAACAAAAGGAATGAAAAGAAACCCCCCCCCCGCCCCCCCCCCCAAACCCACAAAAACAGAAGAGAACAAACAAACGGAGAATACTGTGGTTTGAAACTCATCCTCCCAAAGCTGCCCGACGCAGTCTTCCTCAACGCAAGGATAGCGATTAAAAACGAGCGATTTGCAGGGCGCAACCAGCAGTCAACCGTCTTCCAGGAAACCCGTGGAAATGAACCCGAGGATGGGAGGTGGGGGGGGGCTCATTGCCAAGGGTTCTTCCCCAGGGGTGAACAGCAGCTGTTGCCCCCCAAGGGCTTCAAGACACGAGAACAGGAGTCGGTTAAGGAGGTTGGGGAGACAAGCAACACACAGAAGGAATCCGAAACCAACCAGGGTGGGGGGGGGGGAAAGAGGGAGGAAACGGCGATTTATTGACCAGACTTTACAGGTATTTTTTTTTCTCTCTCTCTCAACTTAGCTGGAATATATAAAAATAAAAAGATTTGGGTCCAGCGTTACCGTTCCGCTTGGCCACGCCTTGCTAATTCTGTTTCTGATTCTCCCTAAATTTGCAGTAGTTAGTTTGGGTACATTGAACGGGGATGTTTTGCACGGACTGTCTGCTGTCCTCGAAGAAGTGAGCGTGGAAGGGTCGGGGTGGGAGGGGAAAAGGAGGGGGGGAATTTCCTTTCCTCTTCAAAGCAAGTGCACATGAAGTAAGATTCTTTCTACAAACCTACCCAAACAGAAAAACAAACAGAAAAACAAAAACAAAAAAACAAGCCCTAATTAAAACAATCCCCCCCCCCAATAACCAAACACATTTTCCCCGTTGTATGCATTTTTTTTTTTGTCTGTTTTCATTTAAAAAAGGCAAAGACACTAGAGGAATGAGATGTGTATTTTTTGTGTTTTAAATGCTCAGGTGAAGCTGTTCTGTCAATTTTTTTGTGTGTGTTTTGTTTTGTTTAAATTTCCCGCCTGCTCTGCTTTCGACCCACGGAGCCCATCATGCTTTGCTCTCAGTTTCATTTGTTTGTGTGGCTTCGTTGGGGACCGTCTTCACTTCTGCGGGGGCTGCGTTGTTGGCTTCTGTGGCGGGAACGGCCGGCTTTTCTTCTACAGCGTTTTTCCTGGGTGGAAAACCAGAGAAACACGGCGGGTTAAGAGGGAGGTTGGTGACGCTCATTTCGAGCAGAAGGCCGGGTGGGGGGAGGTCAGGGGCAGGGAACCCCCCCCAATTTGGAGGCCAAGGAAGGAACTCAATGTGCTGGATGACGGTCATCAATGGTGGCCCTTTTGTCAACTCATAAAATATTTCTGTGGTCTTTTAGAGTTGCCAACAGAAAGGGAGGAGGAAGCAGCGGGCAGCTTGCATCCCATAAATGTTTTTAAAGATAGTTTCTAGGTGACTGAGGTTTCTGCTGGGCAAACATCTAACTGGAGAACATGATTCTTGGCTATAGCTGTATCCCATTGGAGAATATGAATTATGAGACACCCAGGCAATGGGGGAAAACCAGGGTCAAGGGTGACGGTGAATTACGTGTCTCAGAGTCGGCTACACCCAGGCAGTGCCGGACATGTTAACTCCCAATAAATCCTTTTGGAGTTTGGCTAGAGACTCATGATTTAAATGGGGTTAAGTATCAGAATCCGAAAACCTTTTTGGAAGAATGATCTGGAGGTCACCAGAAAAAGTGTGTAAGAATTGGCTTGGCGAGAGATTTCCCAAGCTTTCTTTCTTTCTTTTTGTTTGGTGAAGATATATATATATTTTTTGGCTGTTTTAGGTGCATCACACAATGCAAGCACTTAATGGACTTGGGAGGGTCCCAACAGGGAAAAGAAATTGGTGGGAAACCACATTGGCCAAAGTTGTTTGGGAGAAAGTCTGGAGCCCTGGCCATCCAGCCATGATGCCAACAGAAGGCCTGGTCACCTGCTCCTCGGGAGACCTCCTGAGCCCAGGACTGATGCCTTTCCTGCTTCTCCTCACTTGCACTCAGGCAGTGGTGGGATTCAAACAATCTAACAACTGCTTCTCTGCCCTAATGATTTCTTCTAACAACCAGTTCACCAAACTGCTCAGAAAGTTAACAACCGGTTCTTGTGAACCGGTACGAACTGGCTGAATCTCACCCCTGGGTTTCAGGTGAGAGGAGGACAAGTTTGAGAAAGCTCAAAAGGTGCCACCTGGAACCATTGGATGATGCCTGGCCTTCCTGAACCTTGTAAACCCTAAGTTCTCTCTTTGTTTCCTATTTGTGGGGAGGACCACCTGGGGTTTAGGAAGTGGATTTTTGTTCAACAGCACAAACGTGTGATGGGGATAATTACCATAATTATCTCATCACTGTGAAATCTTTTTCTACAAAAGCTCTACCACCAGAACCATATTTGGGGAGGACAGCTTGTCCTTTGGCATCTGTTCAGAATCCCGTTTTTCCAAACTCCAGATTTTCTTCAGGATTCTTAAGGCTCTTCCATTTTTTTGGCCCTTCTTAGCATGCCTCCTCTCTTCCTTTCCTCTCCTTTTTTCCCTTTCCTTCTTCCTTTCCTTTCCTCCCCTTTCCTTTCCTTTCCTTTCCTTTCCTCCCCTTTCCTTTCCTCCCCTTTCCTCTCCTCTCCTCTGTTTGTTATCTTTAAGCTCAGCAATCCCAAAGCCCTCATAGGGCAGGAAACTCTGTTGCCCCTTCCCCAATCTATCTATCTGCATGCTGTTCTAGCCAAGAGACTACCAAAATTCCCCTTCCCCCTTTCAGACCCCCAATGCTTCTCTGGACCAGGAGGCAGAAACGGGTACGGGGACGTCTACACACCACCTGGTAGGACTTTGTGCTGAGGACAGAATGTTTAACCATTCAAGGATTTGGCCAACCAGCCCAACCTGATCTCAAGGCAGCCTCCGGTGACCCAACCACCCTCCCTAGACAGGTGGCATCTTGGCTGCCCTTTCAGGTGGAAGGCCTCAAGGCAAGATGGGGGAAAGTCAATTTCGCCGTAGCACCTAGAGGACGAGGCTGAACCTCACACTTCCTTTGTGATAGTGAAGGAGCCATGGTGCAGGTTAGCTTGCTTAGAGGAAAAGCCAGGTTAACACAGAGAAAGGGGGCAAAGCAGTGGGCCGTCGACCCCCTCCCCAGCACGGGAAAGAGAAGGGGCACATCGCAACAGGGCACAAGGGGAAGGCCTACTCTGTCTTGGCAGGCGCTGGCGATGCTGAAGTCTCCAGGGCGGATGCAGGGGCTGCGGCTGGGGCTTCGACAGCGGGGGCCGCTGTGCCCAGGGCGGCAAAAACATCCTTGGCAAGGTCAAGGTCGGGTGTCTTGAAGGTCCCCTCGTCCATTTTAAAGTCCTCATTCTGAGGAGGGTTTCTGGTGCCCCCTGGGGCCGCCTCGCCTTTCTGCCCCCCCGCGGTCTTCAGTGCCTCCGTCGGGCTCTTTGCGGCGCTCTTCCGCGCGGATTCCTTCTCGGGGCTCCTGGCACTGGAGGCTGCCTCCTGCTTGGCCTCGGAGGAGTCTGGAAGGCTGGCTGGATTGGAGGGTGGGGAGGCAATGGCAGGGCCCTTGGGAGCCTCGGGCCCCTTGCTGGTGGAGCTGGGGCTCAACACCGCGCCCTGGTGGTTGAGGACGTTGGAGGATAAATTGCCAGCGGCTTGAGGGGATGCGGGGGTGTCGCTGAGGTCCACCAGGGGAGCCACTTTGGGGGCGGAGGCTGGTGGGGGAGAAGGGGCCGCGGCTTTGGAAGGCGTGCCCTGGCTGGGGGGCCCCATGGTGGCATTGGGTATGGGGGTGTCTGGCAGTGTGATGCTGGAGGTCAGTGTGGTGGTCTCACTGGTGGGGCTATTTTGGGCAGTGGCAAAGGTCTCAGTGATGGTGTCAGAGTTTGTGGTGACTGTGGTGACGGACGGCATCATGTCCTCTGTGGCTGCCACGGTGTCGGCAGGGTGCCTGTGAGGAGGGTGGGAAGGAAGAGGGGAGAAGGGAGAGAGAGAGAGAGAAAGAGAGAGAGAGAGAGAGAAAGAGAGGCAGTGACAGCCATCAACGTCGCAAGCGTTTTGGAGGAGGAGTCAATGCAACAGCCGGACTCGCATGCGGTTACTTAGGCACAAACAAGGGGCAGGAAGGAGAGAAACAGAGGCAAGAGGATCGAGGCCCAAGGACAGACATCCAGCCAGGACGGGCCCACCGGTGTCGGGTGTAAGACACGGCGACCTTGACATGTGTCATGGCGCCATGGCATCAACGGTGCAATTGCTGCATATAAATCATTTATCTCACTTGTACTATGACATCACAATGACCATGGCACCCCCACGGGCACCCACAGGAGGGGTCTCTACAAATGGGGGGTGATCCTGAGCTTGTTAATTAAACAGAATGGTAGAAAGAATGCACAAATATTCCCTGTTGGCGTTGCTCATCTTTGGTTGGACATTCCTCCTCTCTTGCCCTGCTCGGGGTCTCCAAGGGCCAATTGAGGCAATGGATAAAATGGACTCCAGGCCACGAAAACCCACACAGAGAAGGAAATGCACAACTCTCTCGAGACCCCTACACCCCCCTCCGTTTCTCCCTTGGGATTTCCAGACTTCCAGGTGCTGGACCTGCTCCTGGAGCGACCTCAATGCCCTTCTCACCCACTTTTGGGCACCCAAGGTGGGTGCCTGGCAAGAGGCCCACGGAAGCCGGGAGGACAATGAGCATCCTGGTGTTCTCCTCCAGGGAAAGTAAGGGTCCCCCCCCCGCTCCCAACCTACTCTGGCTCAGTGAGCGGGGTGGTTTCGTTGGGTTCGGTGTGTTTGCCTCCATCGTGATTTGGAGTCCGTTCTTCTTCCGTCCTCACTTCGACGATGGGCTCTTTTGATTCGTCCTTCCTGTAACAGAGGGAGGGATTCGGAGTTGAAGGCTTTCAGTTTGCGCCCTGAAAAGATTTCTTAACTTGCAACGGTTGGACAGAAGAAGCAACAGTGGTGGGATTCAATTTTTTTTACAACCGGTTCTGTAGACGTTGCTTGGTGGGCGTGGCAAGGGAAGGTTACTGCAAGATCCCATTCCCTCCCCACCCCACTTAAGCTGCTTTCCAGCTCTGTTCTCCTGTGCAGGGCAACCAAAGGAGACCCAGTTCAGCTGGGACTCAATGGGAGTCAGAGAAGAGATGGGGTTGGTGGGGCCAGTCAGAGGTGGGATTGGCTGGTTCTCTGACCTACTCAAAATTTCTGCTACCGGTTCTTCAGAACTGGTCAGAACCTGCTGAATCCCACCTCTGAGAAGCAACCTAGGAGAAATTTCCTAATAGTGAGAACAATTAATCAGTGGAACAGCTAGTCTTCAGATGTTGTGGGTGCTTCATCACTGGAGGCTTTTAAGAGACTGGACCAGAAGACCTCCAGATCTGAAATGGTACAGGGCCCCCTGCTTGAGCAAGGAAGCAAGGGAACAGGGGTCTCTATCCTTTGCTACTTTAAGCCTGGAGGACTTCAACTCCCAGAGCTGGCTGGGGAATTCTGGGAGTTGAAGTCCTCCAGGCTTAAAGTTGCCAAGGTTGGAGATCCCTGGACTAGACGATCTCCAAGGTCCCTTGCAACTCTATTATTATGTTATGCTGCCCCTTTCCTACTCATTACACTGCTGGTGGATTACGAAGACAACACCCTGGCTCACCTCTCCTGGTGCCTCTAACTTGCAAAACGTTAAGCATGGGGGAAGCTAGAAAGAGGCAGGCCTAGGCTAAAATCTTCCCTATTTAGACTCAGTGCAGCCCAGTTGGAATCCAGCAGCTCAGAGAGAGAGAAATTTTCTTGCTTTCTACATTGCACAACAAGAGAAAATTTGATCCCCAAACTGACCGGCCTGGAAATGCAAAGTGTCCCTTATCTTTGCCAATTGACCACTTGGTTTCTACAGTCCTGTGTTTTTATCTCTGAGTCTTGTGGGTGGCTGGAAGGGGCGTCAAGCTGCCCTCCTTACTTGTCTGGGTGAGATTTCTAGCGACTGAGGAAATCATTCAACATTCAAGGCTGCTCTGAGAGGTGCAGGGTTTTGGAGAGTCGCAGTTTGGGGAGCCTCAACATCTCGTTTTGCCCTTTCTGAGTGGGTTCGGAGAGGACTTTGGAAGCCGCAGTTCCAGGGTTAAGCGAGAGGATGTCTCAGTGTTTGGAATTGAGGAAGCATTAAACTGGCAATGGCAAAATAGCCATGACCTGGGCAGGAGAAAATGTGGTCTATTCAGAGCTGCAGGATGTAAGCCCTTTGTTGCTTATCTTCTAAACCAGGGCCTCCAAACTTGGCCACTTTAAGCCTTGTGGACTTCAACTCCCAGAATTCCTTAGCCAGCCAGTTAGGCTACTCTAGGATGGGTGGGGAATTCTGGGGGTTGAAGTCCCCAGGTCTTAAAGTGGCCAAGGTTGAAGATCCTTGTTCAAAACATTCCCAGGGAGCTCACATGAGGCTCAGACCCACTTAGGAATTCTGCAAATACGATAGTGATGGCCAGTCTTGGTAGCTACCAGCTCTCACCCGATTTACACAGGTGAGAGCCTACATCCCCAGTGAACTCAGAACAAAACAGGGACCCAGCAAACGAGCAAGTGCCACCTTCTGCTATGGTTCAAGGGCAGGGAAGAGGAGGTGGCTTCCTCCCTCTGAGATGGAGAGCAGTTACTCACGAGAAGGCAGCTTTGCCCTCTTCCATGTCCTTCCCCTTCGCACCAGGACCTGCTTTGCCACACAGGTTGACGGCAATGCACATGAAAAGGCCACACTTGTTCAGGAAGTAGCAGGTGATGTCCACGGCCACCATCAGGAGGATGAAGATGACGATGAGGATGCCCACGATGGCGGCTGTGCCCAGTCCCGACGTCGGGGTTGTGCTGGCTTTGGACCACAAAAGGAAGTGGAGAAGACATGATGAGCAAGGAGGCATGGGCAGGTTCTGCTGGGCTCGGGGAGATGGGGGTGGGGTGGGTCCGTTCAGTCTCCGCCCACCGGGGACACCACTTCTCGTCTACGGAGATTCTCCCCCTTCCAGGTCCCGGTTGTCCCAAAGGTGCTTCCCAAAAGGCAACTGGGCTTTCTCGGTTTTTCTCCTTGAAAACATTTCGCTTCTCATCCAAGAGGCATCTTTAGAAGTGAAGAAGCCCTGAAGAAGCTTCTTGGATGAAAAGCAAAATGTTCCCAAAGGGAACAAGAAAACCCAAGAAAGTCCAGTTGCCTTTGGGACATTTCTCCTCTCTCCAAATCCAAGCAAGTGAAGACAATGCCGCTCTTGCTTGGGCCAGGATGGGCGGTTTTGGGGAGAAGGAGCTATCCGAAACTTACTCCGGAGGTTACCAGATGAAAAGAACTGCAGGCACCTCACTATGGTCCCCGTCTCCCGGCTTTGGGACATTTTCAGGAGCGTTTGGCTAATTTCTGCAAAAACTCTCATTGAGTCAGCGGAAGCGCCATGAAAATAGGCGGCTTTGAGATTATTATTGTTTCTTTAATGGATCGCAGTGCTACTGCAATTGTACTTTTTGTGCGCATTTCTGTTGCAGCATCAAAAGGTTTTTTTACACACACTGTTTGGGGCCGCATCGACATCCTGTGTGTGGAACATTCAACTGGTTTTGCAAAACTTTCCCTAGGTTGGTAAAGGCCCACAGAAAAGCCATTTTGCTCCAGAAATGAGAGGCAGCAGCTCTCTCTGGGTTTCTTTTGTGGCATCGGTTTTACCAGGGCACCCAAAGACACTGGATACAAAGAGGATTTCTTGCCTCCTTCACCAGAGAGTTGGACTTCTGTTGAAGGCAGAAAATATTGAGTGTACTTGTCTCCGCCTGGCTCTGGCTGGTGAAGTCTGACCTTTGCATTAAGGTCTCTGGAGCTGGATTGTACCTACCTGATCAGCTCGATGCCAAGATCTACAATTAAGCAACTCCACCTGCTCTGGTCAGGACAGCGAGGAGACACCAGTTGCCTTTTCCTCCTATCTTACTGTCTAAATCAGGGGTCAGCAACCTTAAACACTCAAAGAGCCATTTGGATACCCTTCCCACAGAAAACACCAGGAGTTACAAAACCTACCAGGGGTTGAAAGGTTCAATAAATCGTGTGCCAGCAGGTGTAGCACATCGGCAGTTGTGACGCATATTTTGAGTGACAAGGAGCCGCAGCAGAGGGATGAAAGAGCCACATGCGGCTCCAGAGCCACAGGTTGCTGACACCTGGTCTAAATTCTTGGGCAGTTTATTCAGCTATGAGCAATGTTCTTCTCTTGGTCTATTCTCCCTGAAGGAAGCCTTTCATAAGCCTGTCGACTTTCGCTTCTTCTCGTCTCATGGATTTCCCATGATGGACATTCAAAGGAGCGACTGTCCATTGGTAATGCCTACGGAGGTTCTTGGTTGTCCCAAAGGTGTTTTTTTCCCTCCAAAAGGCAACTGGGCAGTTTTGAAGAACTGAAGAAGAACTGAACAAGCTTCTTGGGTGAGAAGCAAAACATCTTCAAGGGAAAACAAAGTCCAGTGGCTTTTTGAAAAAGCACCTTTGGGGTGACCCATTGCAAATGTTTCTGGGCTCATTTTTCGCCTCAACTCTGAAGATGCTCTTAGGGCTCTTCTGGGGTCAGCGCCAGGCCCTTTGCAACTGGTAACCTGACATGGTTTGGGGAAACGAATCCTTTTTGTCATGTGCGCAACCTTTCGCTCCATCTCTTAGGAGCTGATAAGATATCACAAAGAAGGACATGGGATTTGCAACAAGACAATGAAACTATTTGTTTTCATGGCTGCAGAATGAGAGAAAGTCCTTTGATCTACCCTTCCATCCTTACTGCAAAGCAGAGAGAGAAAAAAGCAACCGCTATTTTTGGCCCACAAGGAAGCGGTTTTGATACCGCTATGCAATTTATTTTTTACTTTTTAAAGAAAACCAGGTGTCTTATATAACCTCTCCCTCCCTCTTTTTAATGCAAATGTGCAAATATCATGAAAGGCTTAAAGAGAATTGCTGTGACTAAGCAGAACGGTCCTGTTAATAGCGTTTATGGGGATCGTCCAGATGGTCCAAGCAAGGAGATGGCAGGTCGAAGCACGTGGATTTCACCCAGTTTGGAAGAGGCCAGGTCGGGAATTGCAGGCCAGGAGGTCCTCGACTTTCAACCACAACCGAGCCCCCAAATTATCAGATGGTTCTTAAGTGAGTTTTGCCCCATTTGATGTCCTTTCTGTGCCAGGTTTGTTAAGGGAATCCCTGCAATTATGAATTGTTAAGTGAATCTGGTTTCCTCATTGGCTTGGCTTGTCAGGGTTGCAAACGGAGATCATATGATCCTAGGACTTGTGTGTGTGTGTGTGTATGTGTGTGTGTGTGTGTGTGTGTGTGTGTAAGACATTGTTTGGGTACTTAACAGGTCAACGGATATTACCCAGCCTGCCTCCTCCACCTAACACACTTCGAATCTGTTGGGTCATACTCCACTGAAAAGCTGATGTAGGAGGAATACACACACACATACACATACACACACACACACACACACACCATTCATGGGCAGCAGAACTTAAAA